TCCCCAAGGAAGCATTTTTTGTTTGTTTTGACCATGAAACAAACGAAAAAAAGCCTTATAAAATCATCAGAAAAATATTAAATATTCCAACTTCAGTCTGTATATTTTCATAGCCAACATCTAGAAAACCCAAAAAACCCCTGTGTGCCATGACTAAAATCAACTTATGGAATGTCTCACGCCCAATTTTTGGTTAGTGACATTTCCAGATTTCTGTCCATAGAACTGCTCAGGGTGGTTATAATGACAAGAAGTGAGAAGTGCTCTCTGAGTTGATGCGTTTGAAAGGTAGCTTTGTATGAACAGCTGTGTTTTCAAAATGCTTGCCACCTCTAAATTGGTCCTTGTGAAGTGCACGGTTTGCCTTATTGCCAGCAGGGCACATTGCACTGTAACTGCTGCATTTTTAGGTTTTATCGCTGTCTCTCTAACTGCTGAAGTGGAAAAGAATGATTGCCAAAATCTGACGTGTTTCTTTTCCTTTCTGCCCACTCTGACTTGGTTCTTAGCTGTCTGTTGCTCCAGTGATGACAAATGTTGCTCAGTTTATTCATTCACTGAATGTCTTTTCCAGCTCAAATAATGGTGATACCATCTTGTAAATCAAGTTTCCAGCTGTCAATACCAGTAAATCAAAGAAACCTAATCAAGACATAACAATCATTGTTTACACAAGAAATAATTAGGCAGCAAAAAGTCACATACATCAGGGTACATTTTTCTAAAAACAAGAGATAATACTTTAAAAGGAAGAGACACACCACGTTTAGTAAGATACCAAGTATGGGTGGCAACAGGGATGGACCTCCAGAAAAAAACAGATAATCTGTTCAGAGAGATTTAGCAGTTTTAGTAAATAAGTTCTAGTGCATGAAACAATAACAAAAATCCTGAAGCACTAATAAGAAATACTGATTTGTTAGATATAAAATATTTAGCATTTTTCTTTGCAGACATTAGGAAGCAGACCATACTATTTAATCTGCATGAGGAAATACAAGTGCAATCAGAGTACCCACAAAGATTTGTAAGTGCATGTGGGTAAAGAATTACATCAAAGACTCCAAAACTATGATGCACAGTTCTTCCTGCTGGTTGTGTGGAAACATCTATTCTGCACCTCAGCTTACTGGTGGTAATCTGCTGTGGAGCCCTACCTGTGCAAGCTTCTCTACTGTGAGAAAGTTCTAAAAATAGTACAAGTTCTAAGAATTGCTTAGAACATCACAACAATAATCTTGAGAGCTCACCAAAATCCACTAACTAAGAGTTAATGTTGACATACTTGGCATTATTTGAAAAACCACCTTTTTTAAAACAAGCAAGTAAATGATTCCTTTGCACAGAAACTTTTATATATGTAAACCTCAGTTACTTTAAATACTACTCAGACGAACAGAACAAATAACTTTCAGGTTCTCTGTGTCCTTACTATAGTATATTAGTACCTTTAAAACTGGACATTCAAAAGACAAAACTTTCACATAAAACTCTAGATGGTACAAATCATTCAGCTTTAAAGCACCAGAACACAATAAAAAAAAACTCTGCTGCTAATAAGAGCACTTACATTCAATTTTATTCAGTATTTACAATTACTAGTACATCAATGAAGAAAAGGAAGTTGAAAGTAACATGAAGTTAAATGCTTTTTTTTTCCAATACAAACACTTATCTCTGACACCACATTCTTCAAGGAAACTGAACTCCACATACAGTTTATGCTGCTGAGTGAAATTTACATTATGTTTATTTTGTTACGGTGTATGACAGCTCACTTTTTACTTCAAAATGATTTGAAGGTACCTTGAGGTTGGAAATTAGTTACATACACATAGACACACTCACAATCCATGCAGCCAGTTAGGCAGTTTAACTTGATCACTTCAAGTGGGACTGGAAAATTTACGTCAGCAATCCATGTTTTCTTACACCCTTAGTCAAGATGTATATTGGAATCACATTATAATACTGCTATAAACAAAAGACTCCAACATTTTTTTTTTTCCACTCAAAGCATTATATACAATTTTTGCTGTTGTAATGTGCCACTTTTTTATGTATTCTGTCATGTGAAGAGTACTACTGTCATAGGATTTCGTTTTAGGTTGTCCTGCCAGAAGCAGGTGAACCTTATGGGTCCCTTCCAACTTGACATATTCTACTCTACGATTGTATGGTCTCACAAGCGACCATGGATGTCCATTCTATTCCAGAAACATTATTTTATTCCACATCTTAAATGACAGCTAAAACCAAATATTTTTTTGTATAAAACAATACATAGATATGCCACTATTTAAACAAAAAAATATTTCTCAATTGAAACAGTGTATATTGTAATGATGACTGCAGTCTGGAAGTGTCAAAATTATTCTACAATCTGTTACTCAAGACACTCAACCTCAGTGAATATTTTACACAAGACAGAAGCACTTTAACCAAAGAAATAAGAAAGATTTATGCTAGAACACCATATGAGCTTGAGCTGGTGACTTTTATTAGCTAAAGCATTCACCAGAAAGAGAAAGGACATCAGATTAAATCATAACGAAGGAGAATTTCAACCTGGATCTCAGCTCTTCTTTTTTCTGCTGCTTTTTGCAGAAACCCTATCTGATATATATGACATGGAAATATCCACTGGTGCCCTTACTTTTGGTTTGAGAATCCCATAGAAACTAGAATATAAAATCAGGTGTATAAATGCAAATAGAGGAGCATGTTGGCTCAAAAGTATATGAAAATGTAGTTTATATACTTTAAATGGTACAGCCTCTCAGGTGCCTGGGACATGAAAACTCCATCTGGGTCCATATTTTATGTTTCATAGTGGCCAATAGCAAATTTCCAGGGAAGAACAGAAAATCAGGTCAGGTGTATTGTTATGCTTCCCCAGAATGCTTTTACAAGTACCTCTATTGAGCATAAGACCATGGGCATCACAGTGAGATCAAAAGGCTGAGATAAGACATCTGCAGTAGTAGCCTGTTGAATCTCAATTAATTTGCAATGCAGGTAAGATTTTCAATGATCTTTCAATTATTTGAAACATACATTTTGTATTTTTCATGCTAAAAACACATTTTTAATATACAATCCAATTGAAAATACAATAGTGAGCATGAAATGTGCTTCAAGAGTATGTATGAAGAACATGACCAAAAAATTCTCCCATCACATGGCCATCCTCTTTTGCACTTACACGGGAAATTACATCTGTGCATTTGGCATAGAAGGATTTCTACTAAGATGTTTAGTAAATGTGACAGTACTCCACATCGGGATATCACCTTGCCTCCTGGTGGCAAAATTAAGTTGCAGGCATTAACATTTCAACACAAACCTTTATTTTTCTACAAGCCTCAAGTTCATCTCATTTCCCAGAACAAAAGAACAGATTATATTTTTACTATTTCAGTCAGTATGTCTTAGTATTTTAGTATAAGCTGGGCCATGTGCATAAAAGCATATTATTGATCCTCAAAACAGCAGAATGTTTTTTTGTATGTTTATCTCACACATTGTCTGTTCACTCTATTAATAAACTTACATGTTGAAATAAAATATTAAATGTCCTTAAATGCACATAACACAAAGAACAGTCTCAAAGACTTGCCAAATGTACTTCAAATTGTCCCAGTGCTCATATTACTTTACACAGTCCAATACCTTTCCTCTACACTGTTATGGAATGCATGGGTGGTCACTATGCTAAATCCTCCTGGGCCTGGAAAGGACACATAAATCCAAATGCTTGACACTTAACTTTTGCAATTCTATCTATACCAGCAACCCCTTAGAAGTTATTTATCAATGTCAATTAAGCATTGATCTTAAGGTTTGTAAACAATGTCAATGTGAATTTTAGCACTAAAAGCAGGGGGAGAAAGGGCATAAATGTGTATTGCACAACAGTCTTCAGAAACAAAGTCTGGTTTAAGTGTAAAGTCTATATTCTTAAGTAAATTAAACAGTGAATGTGTACTACTTTATATAAGAAAACACAGAAGCTTTTGTATTACATGCGTTGGAAAAAATTGTACACTCAAAGTCAGATTTTTCTCCACGAAAAGAAAGTACATAGCAAAAATCTGGAGAGCATACATTTGATTCCACAGGTGGCTTTGATGCCACAAGGTTTCAGTCCTTACTATAGTTTGGGACCTGAAGACAGTCTACAGGCTTGAGATTCTTGCAGAGCTACAGGGCAAAGAAGCAATTGCTAGTGTAAGATTTTTTTTTTCCTTATCACTTTGAAGACACTTTTTTGCTAATATTCCTTGCAATTGAGGTTATTGAAGTCAGAATGAGAAAGTCAGTGATTAGCCTGAATTTGCCAAGATGACAAGCTATTTATTATAAGGTATGTATTTCCTTCTAAATAACATATTAAAGAAAAAAATGTTTTCTTTCTAGACAGCAGCTACAAAAGTATTAAAAATTATAAAATCTGTGGATTTTCACTTTCATATATTTCTGTATAAATATCTTACAGGCTTGCCTGAGAATGTCATTAGGAATGTGTATTAATCCAGCCATTCCATTTCCCTTTCATTATAGATAAATTACATTCTTTATAGTTACAAACTTTATGTAAAAAAGTTAAATATTCGTGCTCTGTAGGATTTTTCTCAGTGTTTACATTTTCAAAGCCAACAGAAATTAGTCTGCTTCTAGAGATAACTGAACAAGAAAATATTTTAAAGGAGGATAAAGTATGTAGAAAAATCTCACTGATATATTTTACTTTATACTCTGTGGATCTTCATCTTTCTATAGAACAATGCTCCCCTGGATGTACGACAAGCTAAAAATGTAAAGACATATTACTCTATTAACTTAATTTATGCTATCTGGATACCACTATAATACTCCAGACACCACAATCATTTTCCTTTCTTACTTGCAATAATTAACAGTAAAGAGCAAAAGATGGCTAATTTAATTTATAACTTTATAGGTTCTTATACTAATTATTTCCTCTTCTTGTCCTTTAGGTCATCTTGTCGTTCCTGCAAACACTAATCAATCATGGGATTTGAAGTTAATACTACTAAATAAATGAATTGTTTAATCTCCTATGGCCATCTATACCTACTTCATCTTCACAAAGCTCATCAATTTTATGTCATCAAGGACAAAGTGACCTTCATTTCCACAAAATGCTTCTTACTACTGGACAAGTTGGTTACAAATTTATCACTTACCCTCAGGAAGGAAGTCCTTCACAATCATCATTTGATAAATGCAAGATTGTGCTGTATTAATTGACCAGGTCATATTGAATTCCAAGACTACAGTTGTGGAATACTAAAGGGTCTGTTGCTTTCCTGAACATTTGGGCTAAGATGAAGGACCTGCAACTCAAAATTAATTTACTGCTTGGTCTAGTTACCACTGCTCTACTACAAGCCGTAGGAAGAAAAGCAGACTGCCCGGAGTCATGTATATGTGAAATCAGACCATGGTTCACCCCCAGGTCTGTCTACATGGAAGCTCCAACAGTGGACTGTAATGATTTAGGCCTTTTTCATTTTCCAGCCACACTGCCTGCAGACACACAAGTTCTACTTCTACAAACTAATAATATTGCAAAAATTGAACACTCAGTAGACTTCCCAGTGAATTTAACTGGTCTAGATTTATCTCAGAACAATTTATCCTCAGTGACCAGTATTAATCTCAGAAAGATGCCACAGTTACTGTCAGTGTACCTTGAAGAAAACAAACTTACTGAGCTCCCTGAAGAATGTCTCTCTGGACTCAACAATTTACAAGAGCTTTATATTAATCATAATCTGCTTTCTGTGATTGCACCAGGAGCTTTCATAGGCCTCAATAATCTTCTCAGACTTCATCTCAATTCAAATGGTCTGCAAGTGATCAACAGAAAGTGGTTTGAAGCTACTCCTAATCTTGAAATTCTCATGATTGGAGAAAATCCAATAATCAGAATTGAAGACATGAACTTCAAGCCTCTTAGCAATCTGCGCAGCCTAGTTTTAGCAGGTATAAATCTCACTGAAATACCAGATAATGCTTTGGCTGGCCTTGACAACTTAGAAAGCATTTCCTTTTATGACAACAGATTTGTTAGAGTGCCCCACATTGCTCTTCAAAAGGCTACAAATCTTAAATTTCTGGATCTAAATAAGAATCCCATTAACAGAATACGACGAGGAGATTTTAGCAATATGCTGCACCTAAAAGAGTTAGGAATTAATAACATGCCTGAACTGATTTCTATAGATAGTCTTGCTGTTGATAATTTGCCCGATTTAAGAAAAATAGAAGCAACCAATAACCCCAGATTATCATACATTCACCCCAATGCATTCTACAGACTTCCCAAGCTGGAATCGCTCATGCTCAACAGCAATGCGCTGAGTGCGCTGTACCGCAGTACGGTGGAATCCCTGCCTAACCTCAAAGAAGTCAGCATACACAGCAATCCCATTAGGTGTGACTGTGTCATCCGCTGGATTAACATGAATAAAACAAACATTCGGTTCATGGAGCCGGAGTCCCTGTTTTGTGTAGACCCTCCTGAATTCCAAGGTCAGAATGTGAGACAGGTACACTTTCGGGAAATGATGGAAATCTGTCTTCCTCTGATAGCTCCTGAAAGTTTTCCATCTACATTGGATTTAAAAGCTGGCAGCCATATTTCTTTGCACTGCAGAGCAACAGCAGAACCAGAACCTGAAATCTACTGGATAACACCATCAGGACACAAACTTTTGCCTAATACTGTCTCTGATAAGTACTACATTCATTCCGAAGGAACATTAGACATAAGTGATGTAACACAAAGAGAAAGTGGCTTATACACATGTATAGCAACAAATTTAGTTGGGGCAGACCTAAAGTCAGTCATGATTAAAGTGGATGGCTCTTTCCCTCAGGAACACAATGGATCTTTAAATATTAAAATAAAAGACATAAAATCTAATTCTGTTTTGGTTTCATGGAAAGCAAGTTCTAAAATTCTGAAGTCCAGTGTTAGATGGACAGCCTTTCCGAAAGCTGAAGACTCCCGAGCTGCACAGAGTGCTCGAATACCATCTGATATAAAGGTATATAATCTTACACATCTAAATCCATCAACTGAATACAAAATTTGTATAGACATTCCCACTATGTATTCTCAGAATAGGAAACAATGTATCAATGTAACCACAAAAGGACTGGACTTGGAAGTGAAAGGCTATGAAAAGAACAACATAATAGGATTCCTAGCTGGCCTTGGTGCTCTTTTGGGAATCATATCTGTGATATATCTCTACAGCTGCATCTCTCAAGATATGAACTATGGCATTGGACACAGCTATCTAAGGAATTACCTGAAGAAACAATCTTTTTCACTCAACGAGCTTTATCCTCCTCTAATCACTCTTTGGGACATGGGCAAAGAAAAAAGCACAGCAATGGAAGTAAAAGCAACTGTAATAGGTGTACCAACAAATATGTCATAAATATGTCAGTATATCACTTTCTGAAATAAAAAGCACATGACTCTTATTTGTGCTGAATAAAAAGGCAACAAGAAAAACATATTTCTCTTAGGAACTAGATGCCTGGACTTTGTTGCTGCCATCAAATGGAATATATATGACTCAGTACGAGAGAAGAATTTTAATTAACTGGCTTCTAAGGGTATTCTACCAACCAAATAAAATTAACTTTATATTCTAGAACTTTCATGGGACTTTTAAGTCTGGAATACAGTGGAAGTAGCCAAGAACATTTTCTGTATTTTTTTTTAAATTATTATATAAAAGTAGTGGAACTGAGCAATACCTCCTCCTGTGCTGTATTACACAAAATAGCCACGAGTTTTTGCAGTGAACAGATATACTAGGATTGACATATGGTGTAATGAAATGGACAAATTCTGTAGAGTAGACACAGTAAGTATGTGAATTTTTTTTAATGAGAAAATACATTTTTGATTAAAATCAAAATACTTTTTGTCTTGTTTGTTTCTAAAGAAAACACCCCACCTTTCTGGGAGTTCTTGTCTGACAATAAACAAACACAATCCAAAGTCTGGTAAAATATCTCTTTACATATTCTCCTATGAAAATGCTAATCTGAGCACAAAGGATATTTTTGCTGATTTTAGGTTGTATAATGTTTCTAACAGAAACGTAAGTTTTGCGATAGTTTTTTATCAAATTTTATTTACCCTAAGAACATTATAAATGCAAAAGGGATGTTGGAGATGAGGCCACTTAAACCCACTTAAATAGATTTCAGCATGGATATTGGTTAATGAATAGTTCTTTGATCCTTTTATTTTATACACTGTGTGAAATACTTCAGTTCTCTTAGCAACATGTGAGCCTGCAGATCTTTATTTCAATATATTTGTATTGCACCATTTTATTACTAGACAAAAATAGTCTCTTCTAGAATACATGGCAACACTTTCCGTGGCAGTACTGTGAACCACCATGCATATAAACATAATATCTTTAATCTCTACACAGAAACATTTCCATGGCATTAGCCATTTTCCATAACCAAAGACATTCTTTATGTCAAAATCCCCACAGGTGAGCAGTGGAATTCTTGTGTAGCTGTATATGAAAATGGACAGCTATTCCTTCTACAGATATTCCACATAAGCCTGAAGTCCTTAGGAAGTAATAAATCCACCTTGTAGCTTTAATAGCATAATGCATATTAACTTGCATTTTCACACAAACATGCAAAAAAAAAAAAGTAACAGTAGTTTTTTCAGCAAAGTAAAATGTCTTTAAAATAACAGAAATAACTTAGTTGTGCTGAAGTATGGTTTTTTGTAATCTCCTCATTTATACAAGGGTTGTTTTTTTCTACAAGGCATAGGGCTAAAATTTTCATGGATTTCATTAATTGGGATGTTTACTCTCTTTAATGGAGGAAGAAACTGATGAGGAACTATATTTAATTTCCTCAGAAACAGAAAAGTATTATTACACACTTGTCTTCCATTTATTTCATCGTTTTCTCTCAGGAATACATTAAAATGCTTTAATGCATTAATTCATTAGAAGCAGTACTTACTGGTTATTCAAACCAGAAGACTAGAAATAGATTAATTTTTCTTTGGCATTTGATAGCAAACCTCATTCTGAAATGTACCACTAATAAAAGAGAGAAGGCAAAAATAAGTATTTGAAATATCTGGCTAGGAATACCTACAATACAATACTGAAAAAAAAATCAGTTTATATTACTTGATTCTATCAGTTACTGGAAAGATAATGTTTTATTCATAAAAAGATGAAGCATTTACTTTTTGGTAAAAAATGTGCTGCCATTTAAAAAAATCATTTCATCAGCTAACACAGTCAACTGCTATCTTATATAGGAACATTTTAGTTTCTAGTTTAGCTAAAATGCTGTGAAATCTTAACTCCAAAAAGTACCCATAAAACCTAGATAAGAGATTGGAGAAAAATATGTTGATTTATATCCTAAAAGGAAATCTCCATTTCCAAAATTCTCTATTCTAATAAAACTTATTCTGCTTGTGTATCCTGAAGTAATGACCTCAAGATAACTTAAAATAGAAACTGGAATTCTTCCCATAATGTTGTGCTGGTCAGTAAGACACAATGACCAACAATAATCTTATAAGATATCCTTGTTTATCTGAAAAGCCGGAAGAGACTTTTCAGAAAAATGTTGCTATATAGTACAGAAAATAAGTTCACATAGCAGACAATTCTAGAAGAGCTGCGAGAAAAAAAAAATTGAAAGGCAACATTCTGTCAGACATAAGGAAAAAAAAATCCTATTATTGAACTGAACAGGGTGGACGTGGCTGAAAAAAAAAAAAAATCAGTTTATATTACTTGATTCTATCAGTTACTGGAAAGATAATGTTTTATTCATAAAAAGATGAAGCATTTACTTTTTGGTAAAAAATGTGCTGCCATTTAAAAAAATCATTTCATCAGCTAACACAGTCAACTGCTATCTTATATAGGAACATTTTAGTTTCTAGTTTAGCTAAAATGCTGTGAAATCTTAACTCCAAAAAGTACCCATAAAACCTAGATAAGAGATTGGAGAAAAATATGTTGATTTATATCCTAAAAGGAAATCTCCATTTCCAAAATTCTCTATTCTAATAAAACTTATTCTGCTTGTGTATCCTGAAGTAATGACCTCAAGATAACTTAAAATAGAAACTGGAATTCTTCCCATAATGTTGTGCTGGTCAGTAAGACACAATGACCAACAATAATCTTATAAGATATCCTTGTTTATCTGAAAAGCCGGAAGAGACTTTTCAGAAAAATGTTGCTATATAGTACAGAAAATAAGTTCACATAGCAGACAATTCTAGAAGAGCTGCGAGAAAAAAAAAATTGAAAGGCAACATTCTGTCAGACATAAGGAAAAAAAAATCCTATTATTGAACTGAACAGGGTGGACGTGTGGCACTGACAAAACAAGAAATTTTACATGGAAGAAAGTATACAGTAAGTATGACAAGTTCATTATTAGAACTTCAAAAGGCATTTTGAAGGAAATAGCTAAATGGAATAGAAGAGACAGCCATTGAACACAACCCAAAAGAGCCAAAAAGAGACTGAAAGTTCATCTCATGCTAAAGATTTGAAAACATACTTGAAAAAATAATAACAGTTGCATGCAGCTTTTGTAGAAGTCATAAAACAGATGACTAGAAATATATCCAGAGTAAAAAAATAATCTAGAATTGCCTGCTAGGTAGGGAAAAAAAACCCCATCTTTCTGGAATACAGGTTGACCTTCCAAACCTAGTGTTTTGGTAGGTCAGTTGGCTGATGTTCCAAATGTGTAATTTGAATAGCTTTTCCTTTAATACCATTGGAAGTAATTGGGACTAAATTTTCTCAGGAAAAGACTACATAGACACTCAGGGAAAATGCTAAACAACAACAACAAAAAAGAGAAGGATTATCAGAACAAGAGAAAGATAAACTAAACATTCAGTAAACATTAAATCAAGACAGAGAACAAAAATTAAGCTAGACGACAAAGTTTGCAAAAATTAAAAGCAAAATCCACCAAACTTCATTTCCGCATATGACAACTATATAGGTTAGATATCTAATAAGAGAATTGCAATTACTCAATTTATGGATAAATTCAATATATTACTGAAACTCGGCAAGCTTTGCATGATTGGAATGTTAAAATATACAATCATAACCTGTCTAGTCAGAACTGTGCTTTGAAACTGAGACTTGAGCTATTCACTTCAACTTCAATAAAATGTCTAAAGGAGTTGCGTCCTCTTCAATGTTTCCATTATAGGGCAGTATGAAAATGAAATACCAGACTATATTCTGTCCATGTTTAGCTGCACTTCAGTATTCTGAGACAAAATGTACAAGCAACCTTTGTAAATAATGTAGGCATACAGTAAAACTAGTAATGAGTATTGAAAACAGACCCTATGGTGTGCAACTGACTATGGCTGTTATTTTTCTGGCTACATTAAGTAGTGTTTCATTTCTACAGCTGGGGTGACCAAAACTAAATAGAAGACTAAGCCAATTGGAAATCATGTTTAAAAGACTTGTTCTTTTGAACAATCAAGAAAATCTTTAAATATATTTGTTGTACATCTACCTACTCAACTACAATATTCTCAGAGAGATATAAAGCTGCAGATACATTGAAGTACGTTCAAAGCAACCGAATCTTTTATTAAGCCATTCCTTCCTTCCTTCAGAAAAGCTGAAAAATTACAAATTAAATTCCTCTTTCAGCTAAAAAAATGCTTTTTACAAATGTCTCTCGCTTATCTTTCTGTCTCTCAGCTTCAATTATTTTTAGACCCTTTTTCCCAAAGCTCTTTTCTTTGCCTTGATGCAAATTCTCTGTTCCCTTCCATGCTCCCTGTGGGTTCTTTGCTTATTTCCTGCTACTATTGTTGCCAGACTGCCACATCATTTCCAACACTTCCCAGTAAGGACAGATGTTGTCTGACTTACTAAAAAAATTATCAATGAAACATAATACTTGGAAGCAAAATATTTGAGTAGAGAAATATAATTATTAAAGAAAGACCTGGCATTTTTAGAGAAAATCCTAGTTGGAAAGTTGATCAGGTAACGAGATTAAGCATCTCTCAAGGAAAAAAAAAGCAGAAATTATGTAACAACATTCCAATGAAAATAATAATATGGGAGTTAGATAAAGCTGGAAGGGCACACAATTTGGGCAGATGGCCTGTTCCTGATCCTAAAATAGCTGATGTTCTTTTTAACATTATAGTTCAGATATGTGGAAAACAACCCCATCTGCCTCACCCTTACGTAGCTATTGTTTGTTATCCACGTTAATGACAATTTCACACTGCTCCAAATAGCCACAATGCTTTTGTGAATCACAAAAGTATATCAAATTCAGTGCTGGTGTCTTCACCTATACAGATTTTTCACAGACCAGACCTAGATTCTATAAAGAAAGTTTTCAGCATTCATATACTACACTTTACAGGTCAAAGAGTTTAGAGTTTTGTCATTTAGCATGTGAGCACAAGTCAGAGTCCATGAGATGGCTGTTGGGAATAACTTTTGAGGGCAGAATTTGTCATACATTCTTTTTTTTTCATATGAAATTTTTACTCTGTGCTGTTAATGTTTATAATTTCTTTTTGTTCTTGGTGAATGTCAGGTAACGTAAAAACATACAGCTGAATACTTCACAACACCAGAGAAAGTGAGTTACTGTCTGAAGTCTACTAAAGACAGCTAAAACATGCTTTTGACATAATGGTGGAATGATTTCATAGGACACAAAAACAAATTATGAAAATCATCTATTCCTAAATATCCAACATTTAAATGGAATATAAAGGAGCTAAAAATAATGTCAGATTATCACTTAATTAAACGCAAAGTGCCCAATAACCATGCCAAATAAAAAAACTCAACCATTTACAGTTAGTCTCACAATAGTAAA